TCTCTGCTACCACTGAATCTAGATCTGTCTCTGTCAGAAAGAGATGCAATAATGAGAACACTAGTGTGCTATTTATGAAGGCTATATCTTTAACACCAAGCATTTCTGCAGACTCTGTTGATCTTCTCCTTGATTCCTTTAACTCAAAAGTTAAGAATGTTATTGATGATTCCTGTAAAACTCAATAAGAAGACTGGCAGAAAAAAATCATCTTGTAGAAAATCAACAGCAGTACACATTATGAAAAGACAATGCAGAAAAGCTGAGCGGATGTGGCGGAAGACGAAACTTGAAATTCACTATAGCATCTATAAAGACAGCCTTCGTGCTTTCAATGTGGAACTAGCCACAGCTAGACAGACCTTAGTTTCAGTAGTCATGACTCATGTCAAAGCAGTATACATTGCAGTATACAATAACATTGCAAGAATGAGATGTTTTGTTTCCAGTCAAGACTTGGAGAAACTTGTTCATGCCTTTATCACCAGCAGGGTGGACTATTGTAATGGTCTCCTCACCGGCCTTCGCAAGAAGACCATTAGACAGCTGCAGCTCATCCAGAACGCTGCTGCCAGAATTCTGACTAGAACCAGAAAATCTGAGCATATTACACCAGTCCTCAGGTCCTTACACTGGCTTCCAGTTATATTTAGGATTGATTTTACAGTACTTTTACTCGTTTATAAATCACTCAATGGCCTAGGACCTAAATACATTGCAGATATGCTCACTGAATATAAACCTAACAGACCACTCAGATCATTAGGATCGAGTCAGTTAGAAATACCAAGGGTTCACACAAAACATGTGAAGTCTGCTTTTAGCTATTTTGCCGCGCGTAGTTGGAATCAGCTTCCAGAAGAGATCAGATGTGCTAAAACATTAGTCACATTTAAATGCAGACTCAAAACTCATCTGTTTAGCTGTGCATTTATTGAATGAGCACTGTGCTACGTACGAACTGATTGCACTGTATTTTATGTATAATCATTTTCTATTTTTAACTGTTTTAAATTCATTTC